AAATAGTTTTTATTTTAAATATATATATATATATATATATATATATATAATTTATTTTTTCAATCAAGTCCCTTCTTGCATTATTAAAAAAAAAAAAAGCTGCATTAAAATCAAATATATCTGAAATGTGTCTGTTCTTAAATATCTATTAAATATGGCGTGAAATCAAAATTAATTTATAAATTATTGACTATTCACTAAATGTCCCTGTTTTTATTATGCTAAATTCATCAGTGCATGTCAGTCTAAGGAAAAAAAAGTTTAGGAAAATATCATTTAAATATATTTATAGTTACATATACAATAATGTTATAAAAAATTATTAAAAAATAAGAAGTGAAAAATAATATTATCCAATACCCAACCAGCTTTTCACTAATTGTATTCATACGTTTATATAAAATTAAACAATTCAAAATTGAGACCATTTACTTTCTTAATACCGGTCCCTGGTTTTATTATGCCAAATCCATTAGTGCACCTTAAGAAAAAAGAAGTTTATTGTCTTCAGCTTTTAACTAAATATAATGCTCTTCACATCTAAAATGACCTTTTTTCTGCCAAGACCATGCGAGTGGGCTAAAATAATATTTATTTCTGCAGCCTGCTTTTCACAGTCTAATCCAATCAAAACAAAATCAAGTCTTGCCCTCCATCATTTAACAGAAAATGCATTTTCAATAAGAAAAAGTTGCATTAAAAAAAAAGTTAAATACACGTATCTTGGTTTTACATGTAGATTTAAAATAACATGAACTCAAAATTAAGCCCAATTACTTTCTTAATAGATGTCCATCAACATCTTATGCAATTTATTTTCTTTTTTCAGAGAACTTTATTCTACAGGACAAATCTTTTCATCAACTTGATCAAAATGTAATGTATTCAACCTGTAAAATGGCTTTTCTTTTCTCCTGAAGCCATGCGAGCGGGGAAAAATAATAGCCTATTATCCAATAATAAGTGTACCGATTGTCATGATCCAATCAAATCCAATCTATAAAAATAAGCCCCGCCCACATTATTTCATACATTATTATTTTTACACTTAAAAATACCTTTTATTGAAAATGTTTCATGTCTGCAATATGTATAAAATAAAACAAACGTAAATGGAGCAAAAAAAAAGTAATCCAGGTTTACGAACTACGACACCACAATAACGCAAACTATCTTCGCTGCCAGCGCTGTTGATTTCATTCCCTCACTGATGCAGTTGTTTGCCATTTAACCAATCTGGCACATCCTTGTTTTCTTTGCGCTCTGGATGAGGCTGAACTGCTGACACACGGATTATGTGGAGTCACATCAGCATGGTAATATCGGCCCAATGCTTTTATGATACTGACAGGGGGGAGGGGGAGAATTGCAATATTTGGTTCTTTCATCTTCTAAAGCTGAGGTGCTTGTCAGCAGTGCTGAGCCGCAGCTTGTGGGTTGGATTGTATAATGCAGTGGTGACAGGGAAAGGCTTATGGAAAATCATAAGCCAAAAACCTCTCGCTCTCTCCTCGTTCTGTCCGTCAGGGCCAAGAAGTGCTCAGGATAAAACCCACCGAGCGTCAAACCGCTAGCAATCAACCCGGAAAAACACTGTTTGTCTGTAAACAAAGATACAGTAAATATTTCTCATGAATAACAAATCCTGTCTTTCACTCATGGGTGTTGAAGTACTGGAAGTGAAAACACAAGAGTTGTATTATTCATTAGTTTAGGATGATGGTATTCGCAACTTGCGTAATGTGGCATATTTCTAAATGATATAAATAATAGACTTGCCTTCATCCAGTGGATTTTGTTTGGACTGTAAAAAGTAAGCCGTAATATTATTGGTTATTATGTTTTTATTCCTGTTACATTACCAATTTTGAGTCGTAACTAGTTTGTGACTAGTTTCTCTGAAAAAAATGCACCATTACAACACTGATTGGCTGAGATCCTTGAAAAAAATATCAGTGATTCAAAAAAAAAAAAAACTGAATCAAAAACAGTGCCAAAAGATACAGACCTTTCAAAATAAAAGTCATGAAATGACTTCAAAATAAAACTTGACAAATAAAACAAGAACAAGGAAAATATTGGGGGGTAATGATTAAAATGTAATCATTACAGATGATTAAATTTAGTACAAATATAATTCATTAAATATTTGATATTATTAAATATTACATTTTAATAATAAAAACCGTCTACTAAGGGTTTTATATGCACAAATAGGATTAATTAAATATGTATATTATTATGTACATTGTTTTAATAGTAAAGACAGCCCATTAAAGATTAATACTGTAAATGTATTTTAAAAGTACAAATATGATTAAATTAAATATTTGATATAAATCAATGTTAGGTTTTCACATTAAAAAGACAGCCCATTAAACATGATTAAAATTAGTTTAAGATATACAAATATGATTAAAGCTTTTTGTAAAGTTGAAAATAGAAAAGATTATGTTTTACAAGAATATACAATTGCAGTATTTCTACTTCAAAATTTCACATTCAATTCAATGTGTGACTTGCCATTTCTGTGTAATTGTGAAATTTGCTAGCAATTTCTGAGTGAAAATTGATTCTACAACTGTTTTCATTCAGATATTCATTTTTCAAGCTTGACAACCACAATATGCTTCTGTTGTATAAAAGGAACAGCATGAACAACAGTGTTCTTCAAAAATTCTCTTTTTCTCCTCAAAAGAAAGTCAGTCTCACAGGTTTGGAGCGTCATGAGGGTGAGAGGTGAACTACACCTTTAAGAAGTTCCTGAGATGAATGTGTCCTCTAGAGAGCAGGTTGAACTTCAGAGTCCTAACGGTGTTTTTGATATGAGATCACAGGCAGACCTTACCGTTTCCATATGTGCGGCAGGAAGCCGTGAGTTGTGTTTCCATGGTGCCGTGAATCATTTCAGCCCTCACGCACATGCATAGCTCACGCTTTATGAGGTGTCGGAAAAATTGAGCCGAGGGTTTGGCTACTCCAACACCCCTCACACGAAGGAAAGCCTCCATTTCCTTTAGATCTACCCAGAAGTCATCAACATTCCTGCTCTTTTCAGGAAATTTCACGTTAAGATTGAAACAATGACTCACCAATTTGAGTAATTGTTTCTAGATTACCTGTGCGATTGTAGGATCTCTTAACGCTGAATTTTCGCAGATGTAACAACTCTCTGGACATGTTCACACTGCTGCGTCTAAATCCAGATAAACTCCTCTGTGAATTACCCTGTTGAGTGTAAAAAGTTTGGTTATTAACAGGTATGACGATCATATTTACATAAAATTTTTCATACTGTAAAGAATAGCCGTCAATGGCCATTTTACCCCAAAATTTCAACATAATCGGTTCTTTAATATCGGTACTTCGAGATATATATATATGGGTCGGGAAAGGTCAATTCAACGGCGTTATATGTCCCACACTAGGCTATCGGCGCCAACAATTTTATTACAACATTAACTACACTGTAAAACATTAAGCAGTTTTAAATAAACCTATATATTGGTCAAAAAGTGATTTATTTATTTATTTAAAATTTTGTTTTTGGCTTTTTATGCCTTTATTTCGATAGGACAGTAAGTGGACAGAAAGCGAAGTGGAGGGACGGGATTGGGAAAGGTCCGCAAGCCGGCACTGGAACTCGGGACACCCGTTGGGCAATTCTTTTCTTTTCTTTTTTTAAAATAATAAATTGGTAATTGATTTCAATTATTATCATGTTACTTCAAAATAAAAATAAACTTGACCATTTAGATCCCCAAAAACTGCAATAAATATAATGGTAAATAAAAACAACAGTAGTATTAACTTTGAATATTATTGTATTAAAAAAGCAATAACAAATAAATCCCATAAAAACAAAAACACTCGATCTTTAGTTAATACATCTGATGTCACTAATTTACCTATTGTCAAAATAGTCAAAAATGTATGAGTTAAGCTGGCATCCAAGTTTCTTGTCGCAAGATGTTCTAAATCAATCAGTTACCAGAAATAACTCCTGCATTTTCCACACACATGTAGCTATTTCAGGGAATTAAACATATTTGACACATATTTCTTGATGTTTCTCAGAGCAGTCCTACAAGTAAAGACTGAATTTCTGGGGTTGCAGAAAAAATATGTTTTAAAGTTGAGTTTCTCGGAAACCTGCGGAAAAGATGCAAAGCAAACAATTCGATATGTCGTGAAAAGAGCCAGCACATGTCTGTAAAGACGGGGTGTAACTTCATGACTTCATCAGAACTGACCAAGGCCAAAGTTTTAGGTCAAAATATTGGCAAGACGAGGTGAAGCCCAATAAACGCATCCAAATAAAAGATACGTGCGCACACACACACACGCGCACACACACACACGCACACACACACGCGCGCGCGCACACACACACACACACACACACATATACACATACACATACACATACACATACACATACACATACACAAAGAAGAGTCCAACTGGACTGCAAAACCCAGAATAAAACAGCTTGTACATTTGTGTGTTGTAACTGTGCCTGCTGGTTTTGATTATTGAAAATTGAAACATTAAATCATAACACAAACAGCCCATCAAGAAGAAAAACAATTAAAAGTAATGAAGATGTGACAAGTTTGTTTCCTTGACAACCTGGTATGAGTGTGTTTTTCCGTCTGGTGGGGTCGTGAAATGGATGGTCGCTTCCTCATACACACACACACACGTACGCACACACACATATCCCCAGCTGAGAAAGAAATAAGTATATTTTCCATTGTCTTCTTCCATTCAGCTAGAAAAGCCTGTTTTTAATCGCAGAGAAGTAAACAAACCACAACATTTCTGCGGGGTTATTAGCGATAGATATATCAGCCAGGCGATTAATCGGACGATATTTGGCCGTTTCGAGGTTATTGGCAGGTTATCTTGTGGTTAGTGCAAAACCCAGATTTACTGGCCTGGCTGATGTATCAATCTCTAATAAACCAGAAGAGTTGTATGCTGAGATTTTGTGGTTTGCGATTGAAAACAGACTTCCTCCCACAGAGCGCGAAACTGCTGAGCAATGGGATGCAATCACAACCAATTCTACAATTTACTTTTTGCTGAGCAAATAATTACAAAGAAATCGCAAGGAACGCATTGAATTAAACATGAAATTTTAAAGTAGTAAGACTAAAACAGTACTATTTTCTTGTAAAACGTAATCCAATAATCTTTATTTACAATTTTCAGTGGTTTTTTTCTAATTAAATTTATACATTCATTTAAATTATTAGTTTAAAGTTTAAAGATTAAAATTTAAAGTAGCTTGTTTCTAAATTTCTTAGTTTCAGTGTAACTTCCCATCATTAAGATTCTTGTAAATTAAGACCTCACAAATCCTTGTTTTTATTCTCCCACTTATAGTTTTCCTATCGGAAATATACAACACCTGAGGTTACATCAGTGACAGGATATCACTGACACTGACAGTGACCTCATCAGATGACTTCCTGCATCCTGTGCAATTCAGCTGAAGGGAAGCACTGTATCCGTGTTTGGATTTGCTCACTTCCCGTTGAACATGAACAAGAAACACTGGATGCTTTTTAAGACCTCTTACAAAAAGTACTACGGTTTTACCATGGTAAAATTAAGCCACTAGATGTTAATACAACGATATTTTGATATATACAATGGTACAAGTTTAATACCACTATGTGTGTCCAAAAACATGGTTTTATTATGGTACATACTATAAAAGCATGGTAAAACCATGGTATTTTTTTTAGTTTATCGTTATGCTAAAAATACACACACAGCACACTTACACACATTTCTTTGATTAATTATTAATGCAACCGAGGCGTTTTCTCCGATTCATCTGAAGTGGCTGTCAGCAGCAGAAGATGAAGATGAATTTGTCTACGATCAGACAATACATCACAAATACTTAAAGTTCAAAGGAAGGACAAAATATTCACACTCAACAGAGTCAAATTGCACGTTTACTGATTAAATAAAACTAAACGTCAATCAGTGGCAGAAAGTGAATTGAATTTCTTCAAAATTCAAATAAATGCCACTCGGTTTGATATTTTGCAATGACATTTATGCATTTTTGCATACATTTTACATTTTTTAATTAAATTTTAAATCTGTCCAAACACATTTTAGGGCCACTGTATCTACAATTCACGTTTCACTGCATATTAGAAGATCTAGCTGGGAATCTAGGGCAGACATGTACAGAAAAAGACTGGAATACAATGAAGAAAGGGCACACAGACACACACTTACTCCTCGATTTGGTCGTTTGAGATGCATGAATGAGAGAAACCTGGCCAGAGAAGAGCAGAAATTAATCCTAAATCTAGAGAAGACAGATATGGGGGTAGAATTGTTGCATTATTCCATATAAATAGATTATGATCCACAAATAAATGTAAAGCGACTAACAAAAACCAAACATATTCACAAAATAAATAGAATGAGATCCACAAATAAATCTTAGAGTTTCACAAACATGAATTAAATTCACAAATATAAAAAAAAATTAGACTTGCAAATAAAAAATATATTCACAAATATATTTTTATTCTACAAACACAACTTTGCCTGGCATTTATTTGTGGATCGCTGTGCGTATTTGTGGATTTTGAGACAATTCTAGCGTCAAGACGCACACCAATCCACAAATGTATGAACTCCACCCACCGTCTACTCAAGCCAATCAGATAACAGCCACACTTCGCTGACCAATCGTAGCACGTTCTCGCTATAACCAATCACGTTTTGCTTTACAATCAGGGCGGGAGCAGATTAATTTTGCACCCCTGCAAAATGGCTTCTTTATATTTCCATCAGGATCAGTGACACAGGCGCGACACACGATGAAGGACATTTATTTATAATGCTATATACATCGTTAGATCCACAAAGCTGCTCATATTCATAAACTGCTTCACTGAAAAACTGGAAAACGCTATGTTGGCTGTTGTGTAACGGCAATTTAACCGATTACACAAACACACATTTTTATCATGAGGTTGAATCCAGTAATTTATTAGTCAGTTACTTATTGACGCTTTTCTTTCCATCTTGAATGACGCTTCCATAACGCGTTTGTATCCAGTATAGGATTGTTCCCATAGCAGTGATTTAAAGCGCTGTTTCTCTGGCATTTTCAAAGGCATGTAAAATATACTGTGGGTTGGCTTGATACACAGTCTAATGGTCTAACGAAATCCAATAACATCTTTTACTGTATCAATTTTTATGGCCCTTATATTTCCTATTTGAGCCAACGCATATTATGAATGAAGATATTTCAGCAAGAACGCCCTGATTGTAAAGCAAAACGTGATTGGTTATAGCGAGAACGTGCTATGATTGGTCAGTGAAGTGTGGCTGCTATCTGATTGGCTTTAGTAGACGGTGGGTGGAGTCCACACATTTGTGGATTGTCAGCGTCTTGACACTGGAAATGTTTCAAAATCCACAAATGCACAGCGAGCTATATCCACAAATGCGTGCAATGATCTACAAATGTACAGGACGCGATTCACAAATGAATGGCAAGCAAAGTTGTATTTGTGACATAAAAATGTATTTGTGAATATGTTTTTAATTTGCAAATCTCATTTTATTTATTTGTGAATTTAATTAATGCTTGTGAAACTCTGAGATTTATTTGTGGCTCTCATTCTATTTATTTGTCAATGTGTTAATTTTTTTGTAAATCTCTTTACATTTATTTGTGGATCATAATCTATTTATTTGGATAATGTTTGTGAAACTCTGAGATTTATTTGTGGCTCTCATTCTATTTATTTGTCAATGTGTTAATTTTTTTGTAAATCTCTTTACATTTATTTGTGGATCATAATCTATTTATTTGGAATAATGCAACAATTCTACCCCCATAGATAGAGAACAATAAGGAAGAATATTCGATGTTCCAGGCTTATAATTCAATACCGTTTCTATATCAGGCAGAGGCACATGTGCTCTAGGTGGCTTGAAGCCTGAGTGTGTGAGTCTCAGGGGTCATGAGGGTCAAAGAATCACCTCCTTCGACGTCATAAATCGCCGCAGGCACCAGTAGAAGTACTACTGTGGTACAACGTTAGCATAACCTTCATAAAACACTTAGAAATTGCAGTGGCAAGTTCACATCCATGCAGCCGGTCCAAAATGTTTGTTGTATAACTAGCAAATGCAGTTTTATATGCCGAGTCGGAGTCATTTTAGTGAATCAGTTC